GGTTGGACCCCGACAACTATTCATCTTACAACTGAATCTTTTTCTTTTTTTTGAAGGTACACTAACAAGACTAAGTCAAATGTATTCCTGAGAGAACTTGCCTGTAGCTAATCACCTGTTGGAGAGACATGTTTAAATAGGTTTTATTTGGCATAAACCTGTGCATGTTTGAACTAGAATTCAACAGCAATTTGTCTTGACATACCAAAATACAACAAAACAAAATGCTGCCTGGCTCTCTATTATTCTCACAATTGCTTTAATGTTTGTGGACATTGTTGCAGTCACTGTGTTAATCCATCTTACTGAGGCCTTCTTTTACACTGACCATCTAGCTTACCAAGCATAATATCCTTCTCCAGGGACTGGTCCCTCTTCATGACATGCTCAAAGTACATTAAATGAAGTCTTGCCATCTTCACTTATAAGAAACATTCTGACTGAATTTCTTCCAAGATAGATATATTCCTTTTCTGGTGTTGTTGTTGTTATTAAATGCCCTTAAGTCAATTCTGACCCCTAGCCACCCTGTATAGTGTTTCCAAGGAGCAGCTGGTTATCTTGAACCACCAAACTTGTGTTTCAAACCAACTTTGCAGTCCTGTGTATTAACTCACAACACCACACCAGGTATTACATGGTATATTCACAAAACTTGGCCAACATCAAAATTCAAATGTACAAATTCTTCCTCAGACTTCTTAATTCATTGTCCAGCTTTTGTATGTATATGAGACCATTGAAAACCCTAAGGTTTAAATCAAGAACACGATAGTCATGAATATGACATCTTTGATTTTAACACTTAAAAAGATATTTTGCAACAGATTGGCTCAATTAATATGTCCTGTGATTGCCTGACTTCTACCTCTATAATTGTTGATTGTTGTTGTTGTTAAGTGCTGTCAGGTTGACTCCGACCCGTAGTGACCCTATATAAGGTTTCTGAGGAGGAGCTGGTGAGCTTGAACTGCCTACCTTGCAGTTCAAATGGGCTTACAGTCTCACACATTAACCCACAGCACGAAACCTGGATCCAAGTAAACCGAAATCCTTGAGAACTTCACTTTCCTTTTTTGTTTATCATGACGTTCCTTATTGATCCAGTCAAATTATTTTTTTTATTGATGTTGAGATATCATCCATACTCAATGTATGTTGTAGTCTTTGATTTACAAACGTATTTCAAGTTTTTATCACTTTCAGCAATCAAGATTTTGTCATTTCCATATCGTATTTTTAATGGTTCTTCCTTCAATTCTGATGATGCACTCTTCTTCAAATACTCCAGTTTCTTAGATTATTTGTTCTACCTTAAATAATTATGTACCTCATTCCTATCCTTGCATTTTATTTTGCTTTCTGTAGCATTCAATATTTTGCCTATATAATCCTTCAACTTTTCAAGTCGAGGCTTGAATAATTTCTTCAGTTCTTTCAGCCTGAGAAATACTGAGCATATTCTTTAAGTTGGGTTTTCTAATCTAGGATTGCACATTTCATTATAATACTTGACTTTTTCTTCTTGATTTGCCCTTTGAAATTATCTATTTAGCTTTCATTTTCTCATTTCTTCCATTTGCCTTAGCATCCTATACCAGAGAACAAGTTTTAGAGTCTCTTCTGATATCCATGTTGGTCTTTTCCTCCATAAGGTTTTCAATGGCTAAACTCTCAGAAGTAGTCTGTCTTTATTCTTCCTAGTCTTTCTTAGTCTGGAAGCTCAGCTGAAACCTGTTCATCATGGGTAGGCCTGCTGATGTTCAAGGTACTGGTGGCATAGCTTCAAGCATCACAGCAATATACAAGCCACCACAGACTGACAAACTGATAGATGACTGGTAGAACCTCTTTTTTATCATGCATGTGTATTCAACTTGTATTCTTTTTCTTTGCCCAAATGAAAGTTCTTTCATTAAGATAGTCAATGCTGAGAGAGTGATGTCTGATTTCATTTGCCAGTCTGTTTTTATATAATCATTTTGTTCGTATCTCATGTGTTTCTCCTATTATCTATCTAATAATAACATTTTGTAATGTACCAATTGCTTACTGATCTGCTAAAGGAAATCAAAGAAAAGATGCCTTGCCTAAATCATGTTCAGAGTGTTAAAGGCAGTAGGAACTAATGTGATGCTGAGAACATTAATCAATGTAAGAATCACAAGTAGAAAATAAGATGCATGGGGCAGGGTTTAGACAATTTTGTAAAGTTATTTCTTACTTGTAGATAGTCATTTTGTGAGAGTTCTCAGTTTCATTTTTATAGTATACATTGATCTCCTTCAGTCCCAGAGTTCTCAGACTTATTTAATGACATTGTTTCCTCAATACAATATATAGTTTGTGTGATAGATACCCCAGATAGGTAAATAAGATATTCTGAGAGAATGAAATGGAGAGTGTTAATGGGCAACTTTACAACTGTACTAAAGCAGTTTTATGTTATAAATGAAATAATAGGATTGTTAGATAGAATTGAAGAGGGGTATTGCCAATATTTCTAAGAGGAAAGTAGATAAAAGAATCTGGCAATAAAAAGCTGTAGAAAGCTTGGAGCAAATGAATGGATGAAATCTGAAAGTTGTCCATTGTCACATGTTCAACTCTAGACTTCTTTCTTTCATATAGATTGTTTTTCTTGAGCAATTCCATCATTATTTTTTTAAAGATTTTGATTATACAATCCTTTTCCAAACTTCTATTGGATGATTGCAAAATAGAATCAATGAATATGCAAATTAACCAATAAAGAAAAATAATATTGATTTAAAAGTAATAGTTATACACATTTCTATATAAACTCCAAACAGACTTGATTTATGACCATCCTTTTATAATAGAGGAAGAAAAAAAAAGATATTTGTGTGTTATATAACACCTACTTTCCAGTTTTAGGGATTGAAGTGTATTTCATATTCTTCCATAGAAGTAAAAATGGCAAAGGAGGGTTCTAGTACATTTATGGCATAAATGATTCTGAAGGTTTGGCCTGGTGAAGTTTTGTTTTCTACATTTATGAAGTTCTAGCAGAAAAGAAGTGAGCACCATACAACTAGAACAAAGGATATCTATCTATCTAGCTATCTATCTAGCTATCTACTATCTGTCTATCTATCTATCTATCTATCTATCTATCTATCTATCTATCTATCTATCTATCATCTGGAACCACCATAATAGTTCAGTTAACATGAGAGAACAATACCAGTGCTAGTATAGAGGATCTTTGATTTCATATAAACATTAGACAGAACATCAGATCAGCATGGTGGAGTATGACTAATATATGTATGAGTATGTTCACTGCCAGAGAATTATGATTACAACAACAACCAGAGTTTATTTGTGAAGATAATGGAGTCCTCATGTAGTGCTGTGTGTTAATGTGTTGGACTGCAAAGTCAATTTGAACTGCAAGGTCAAGCTCACCAGTTGCTCCTCAGAAACCCTATAGAGGGCTGATATGGTTCAGTACCAGCTCGACTGCACTTAACAAAAACAATCAGAGTTTTTTTTTAAGATATTAGGACATAAAATTCCATGATATAGTATTATTGTTTTTTCCTTCCTAGCTCTGTCATAAGGCTTGAACCACCGCTGTGTAAACCATATAAACTCACATGTATATACACACACACACAAAACACATTATGAACTTTTCACAGAGAAATCATAAAGGCAGTAGGCAATTCACTATGAGATAAAATATCTTGTGGCAATTTTGGTAATCTTATCAAAAATAAGTTTCACAGTGCCAACCCTATTAACATTTTAATGATGGAATGATAATAATAGAGTGATTATTAGTTGGAGAAGGAAACTGAGCAGCTTCCCAGGTGGGTGAAGTTGTGTTCTGTGATGTCAGAGGTGAAAGGGGGGTATTTTAATGAGCAAGAGTAGAGGACATTTACCAAGGAAACTGGCCAGAAATGGCACTTTCATACAAGGTCTACAGGTCACAGAACATTTCTAGACATTAGTATGCTGTTGTTGTTGTTAAGTGTCGTCGAGTCGGTTCCAACCCATAGCGACCCTGTACAGGGTTAACCGAGGGTGTAAATCTTTACTGGAGTAGAAAGGCTCATCTTTCTCCCAGGGAGCGGCTGGTAGTTTCGAACCGCTGACCTTAAGGTTCGCAGCCTGATTCATAACCACTATGCTACCAGAGCTCCTTAGACATTAGTTTGAATCCCTTCTAAATAGACCTCCTTCAAGGAGTAATTCTCAATATGGATACTTGAGGTACTATAGTATTCTCCATAAATGTGTTCCTTAATGTTCATACATTCATTGCCCATCCCTGAACAATATTTCAACTTGTTCATTTGTGGGACTTGTCAAAGGCTACTTCCAAACCATTCTTAGCATGTTATTTTGTGCCATCAAATCAGTTCCAACCTCATAGTAAACCTGTATAGAACTTTCAAAGGTAGGTTTGACTTGCTGACCTTAAAATTCTCAATCCAGTGCTTATCCTACAGTGCCACACCAGGGCTCATATTATCAACATAGTCTAGAAAAAGTAATGTTTTCATATTCAGCTAGCCCTATAACAGAGGTGAACAAAAAATGGCCTGTGGGGAATATTCTTCTTGTTAACTGTTTTTGTAAAGTTTTATTGGAATATGGACATAACTTTTTTTTTTTTACATATGTAATTGTTTCATGATACAAATGTAGAGTTGAGTATTTGTGACAGAGTGTATATGACCCACAAAGCCTAAAATATTTTCCATCTAGAGAAAAAAATTGTCAGTTATTGTCAGTGAGAATGAAGTAGATGTCACAGTTGTCACAGTTTTGTACCCACTGGAATTGCTTTCCAGCTGCCTTTATGACAGAAATATA